AGGTTTTGTAGGGTTCTTAACTGGCCTAATTTCAATAGTGTTGTGTCTCAGGGAATAGGGGGACCCTAGGAGAGGGAGACAGATGGGGGATGGACAGTTGGTGGGGTAGTCAAAACACACACATTTATCCATTAAGCTCACCATCTCATATAGGTGTGGTTTGGGGCACCCCAAGACAATTACAATAATATCACCAAAGATCACTGATCACAGATCAGCATCACAAATATAATAATAATGAAAATGTTAGAATTATTGTAAGAATTATGAAAATGTGACGCAGAGACACAAAGTAAACAAATGCTGTTGGAAAAGAATGGTGCCAATAGACTTGCTTGACACAGGGTTGCCACAAACCTTCAATTTGTAAAAAATATAGTATCTGCAAAGTGCAACAATATGATGAAGCACAATAAAATGAGGTATGCCTGTACTCCTCTCAAGAGGAGGCTACTTGGTTTTTTTCCCCAAGCTGAGGAGAGAGAAGGGGTTTAGGGGATAAGAGTCCTGGACTGGACCAGTCACTTAACCTCTTACTACCTGTGTGATGGGGGCAAATTAGCCTCCCAGAACAACCATTTTGACTGGTGTAAAACAGAGGGGAAAATAACACACATTAGAGTTGTTGGTAGGAGTAAATTGATAGAATTAGATCTTAAAAAAATAAGCCCTTGGGGCGCCTGGGTAGCTCAGTCAGTTAAGTGTCCACATCATGATCTCGCGGTTCATGAGTTCAAGCCCTGTATCGTGCTCTGTGCTGACAGCTCAGAGCCTGGAACCTACTTTGAATTCTGTGTCTCCCTCTCCTTCTGCCCCTCCCCCCACTCGTGTTCTGTCTCTCTCCCTCTTTCAAAAATAAATAAGCATTACAAAATTTTTAAAAAGATTTAAGAAGAAAAAGCCCTTTGTGAATGATAAAGTCCTCTGTAAATTTAGGCACTAATATTAACTCATCTGTGTTAAGAAATATTCATGGAATGAATTCTGTATGCCAGGGACTATGCAGGGCATCAGGGACATAGTAGTGAACAAGGTGGTCTTCATGTCTCCAGTATTTGCATCAGAACCAAGTTGGTCCAAAGAGAGAGAGAAAGACCACTAGAGGCAGAGTCATTACAAAGTGAAATTTGCTAGGCAGAGATGGGGGTGAAGGAAGGAGTCAGATAAGATTATTGGTAAGAAACTGATGTCTAAGTATCTGTCTAAAGTCCAGGAATAGTCATCCCAGAAAGAGTGGTAGTGGTGAGGGAAGGACATTCCAGGTGAAGAACATTTGTAAAACCTCAGTGCTTTGAGAGTGCCCATCTGTGGGTGCTTGGGACTGTATAATTGCTCAAAGTGTTGGGAGTTAAAGAGACCCTATGAGAACGTGCAGATGTCAGGGGCCTTATAAATGGCCTCCTAAGTCCTTTCCTGAGTCTTCAGGCCATCAGAGGCCACCAGATGTCTGACGGGACCTCTTTGAATGTCACATTTGGGGCCATCCTCACTTCGAACCCACCTTTTTAGGTAGGGAGATCCCAAGACTTTTCCCTCCCCCTTCTTGTAAGTGAGCCTTCCCCTGGTTTAATTTACTTTCATGTCCAGCCTTTAACCCATGGGAAATAAATTGAACTAAGTTATTCTCCCCAGATCCCCCTTGAATTTTTATTGAACCTTCTTTTCCAAAAACTGTGTTTTGCTCTTGCTTGCAGGCTGCAGATAAAATGGTATGCCAGCTGCCTCTTTTATGAAACCAAGTTTGGCCTTTTAATCACACTGGGCGGGCTTTTGCCCTCCCCCCCCCCCCCCCCCCCCCCCCCCGACACACACACAATTTCCCTATCATCTGGTCTCCAGGCTCTATCTGTGGTAGGCAAAATAATGACTCCACAAAGATGTACACACCCTAATCCCCAGAACCTGTGATGATGTAGCCTTATGTGGCAAAGAGGACTCTGTAGGTATAGTTAAGTTAAAGGTCTTGAGATGGAGAGAGAATCCTGGATCTTCCGGGTGGCACCAATGTAATTACAAGGACCCTTAGAAGATGGAGGCTAGGAGACTCAGAGTTGGAGGAGGTGTGATGAGAAAATAAGAGGGGAGAGGGATGTAGGCCATGAGCTGAGGAATGCAAGCAGCCCCCAGAAGCTGAAAAGGCAAGGAAACATTATCCTCTAGAGTCTCAAGAAGGAATACAGCCCTGCTGAACCATTTTGGACTTCTGATTTCAAGAGCAGTAAGATAATAAATTTGTGCTGTTTTAAACCACTGCGTTTGTGGTAATGGGAAACAAATACCTCACCCCTTCTCTGTCCCTCACTCCAAGCCTCCGTTTAGGTGATCCAGTGATCTTTCAACTCTATTCCTTGCCCAAACTCAACTACAGTTTTGCTCAAACTTTCTGTCCTTAATCCTTTCCCAAACTGATTCCTCCACTTGTGCTCTGGAATTCATTCCCTAACTTCCTCAAGCATCTGATTCTAGCTAGTGTTTTGTTCCACATCTTCAATCTCTTCGTTGTTACTGGATTGTTCTTTAGTTCTCCTTATTTTCTTTAAACTTGTACACTCATGCAGTCAGTTCCTAACCTTCTCTCCACACACAGTCCATGACGATGACCGCCACTTCTCACCCCACCCACAAAGACAGTGTCCTGGGGAGTCCCGGTTGCCAAATCTGAGGACATTTCCAATCTCCAGACTCATTTACTCTCTGGATCTTGATCCTGTTGAGTCACTTTACACCCTTTGGAGACCACAACACAACTTCTCTCTGATTCTTCACGTTCTCCAATCTCCTTGGTCTCTTTTGGTCATTTATTCATTCCTGAATTCAACATTTTATTGAAATCCTGCTATGCATCTGGCACTATGCTAGGGAGTATATATAAATATGCAGACACAGGCCGCTCAAGGAGTTTAGAGTGCACTGGGAAAGACAGACATGCAAAAATAATGATATACATTGTTCTAAGGGCAAAAGCAAAAATGTACACCAGGTGACATGGATGTTCCCAGTCTTCTGCCCAACCTCTAGTCTAGCTACTCAAAGTGTGGTCCCTGGAGCAGCAGGAGAAGCATCACCTGGGAACTTGTAAAAGGCAGGATCTGGGTACCCAGACCTACTGAATTGAAATTTCCATGAGTAGGGTTCAAGTCTGCTCTCTAGTGTCCAAGACTCCCAGCCCCATCTCTACTTCCTCAAGATCCTTTGCCCCTCTGCTCCACTTGAAACAAAACCTCCCATTCTCCAAGGTCTGGCCTTGATGCCACTCCAGTTGTGAATCTTCATGTCACCTATTTCTTCTACCTAAGGCAGAATTCATTGCCACCCCTTCTGTTCATACCATTTGCAGAACACTTACCACTCTGTTTTATTCTGTTTGGTTTTATGAATGTTTATTGAGTGCTATCAGACACTATGCCAAGCTCTGGGATACAGGAGAAAAGAAGAAAGAGTTCCTTACCACAAGGCATTTGCAGCCTATAATAGTTAATAACGCATATGACCATTTTGCCTGTGTTTCCTTGAGTAATTTGAATGTTGACTTCAAATGGTCCAGTATTCACCTAACGTTCACTGGTTTTTCAAGTGGTGGGTATTGACATTATCAAGAAACGAAGCAGGATACAGCCATAAGTGATATGACCTGCAGTTGACCTTTAATCTTACTCGTACACATGTTTTGGTACCCTCCGTAATCCATTTCTACTTTCCTCTTCCAGGCAGCCTCTAGTCTCTATCTGAGTACCCTTGAGGGGTAGTAGAAGCGTCAGGGGTAGAGTGTGTGTCCTAAACAGAGACTATCAGGACTTTTGTTTGGATGTTGTTGTTGGTCGTGGAGGGGGTAGAAGAAGCCAGTGCCTAGAGAGCCCCTTGTACCTGTCTGAAGTCCACAGGTCAAAGCCTGCAGAAAATAGAAGCCAAAACCAGAAATCAAATCTGAGAAATAGAGGATAGGAAAATTGTTGTCTTCACATCATTTGAGCTGCTGGATCAAATCTCATCTTAAGGATGTTTTTCCCCCATCACATTAGCTAATAAATTCCTTTCATTATTTAAGCCAGCATGGATTGGGTGTTCTGTTACTGATAATCACAATTATCCTAATTATTTTAATATTTTATTTGATTCCAAAAAAAACAACTAACTTGCCCTCTAGAAAATGAGACTTTGCTCTCACTGTCGACTGATTTCCCCATGTGCAGGTCATTCCTTTGGCCCTGAGAAAGCATAGATTCCTGGGACTGCATGGCCACACCAAACTTCAATTAAGGTTGTTCTGCAATGACTGCAGATTTGTTTGTTCTTTCTTCTGTTTTTAGTTCTATACCGGTTAAAGTTAATTTTATGTGTCAATTTCACTGGGTCATCCAGTGCCCACATATTTGCCTGAACATTATTCTAGGTATGTTTGTGAGAGTATTTCCAGATCAGTCTGGCATTTAAATTGGTAGAATGAGTAAAGCAGATTGTCCTTCCCAATGTGGGTGGGCCTCATCTAAACTGCTGAGGGCCTGAATGTGACTGGTTGAACAGTGACATCGGTCCTCTCCTGCTCTTGAACTGTGACTTACACCATCAGCCATTGGGTTCTAAAGTTTTCAGATTTGGACCAAAACTTAAGCCGTTGGTTCTCCTGGTTCTCAGGCTTTTGGACTCAGGCTGGAACTACACCACTTGTTTTCCTGGGTCCTCAACTTACAAATGGCACTTTGTAAGGGGCATTTGTGGGACTTCTGGACTTCTCAGACTCATAATCGCATAAGCCAATTCCAATTGTTCATGATATATGTATCCTAATGGTTCTGTTTCTCTGGGGACCCATAACAGTACTCAACCTCTGCCATCACCTACCTCCTCACTTTCACAGTTATAGAAAAAGTGAATGAGTGCTTTCATCGAAGGATAGGTGTGTTTAGACACATGAGGAAGGAAGCCTGAAGCACACATCTTGCTCACAAACCCAGAAACATGCATGGTTATGTGGACCATCATGTATATGGTGTACTTTTTACCTCTGGTTGCTTTCTCTTTGCAGCTACATGTAAAAGCCGTAGAAGATGGTACTGTTCTGGTTGTTCCAGCTGAGACATCAAGGCCAGGAGTTCTGTCAGGTGTCTGTTAATTGGCTGAGGCTGCTTTTCATACACAGCAGGTAACACCCTCAACAACATGGCATTACCTGTTGAAAGAACAATACCAAGAATGATGACTATTAGCTCCCAATCAGTAGAAACACCATTAGTGTCAATTCAGTAAACTTTGCACTTATTCATTAAATGGCCAAGTCTTCTGCTAAAAATAACACAGTATCTTATCCTGAAAAATCACTAGAGCATGGCTTAAACTGATTCCATAAAAGGGAATATTTTATTTATTTATTATCTAATGAAAAATTTTCCTGAGTAATGCACCACGGGGAAAGAGGAAAATTTGACAGTAACCGGACCACACCCTTAAGAAGGAAACAGTTCTGATAAAGAATTCCTGATGAGACACAACATTTGGATGCTGTTTAAATGAAAACTAAGCAGTGCTGTAAGCATGAGACTAAATGAAACTGAACCAAAAAAAGAGCACAGAGGAATGTATTCACCTTCCTGAGAGATACGGAGGCATGATTTAGACAACTGATATATGGAAACTATGCTCTATTTTTATGAATAGTTAGAAAAGTAGCAATGCAAATTTAAATCCCCAATTTCTGCACTATTTCAAGGGAAGTTTAGACTCAGCTTTGTTTGTCACACATGATTTACCTCAAAGACATGTAGGGACAACTGGATTTAAAACGGCAAAATCTCAAGAAAAGATACTGCATAAGCTACAGAGACTTATCTGCAAACAACATATGGGAAACATCTGCCTATCACTTTATGGTATGGATTTTTTTTCCCCTCAGAATCCTCTTAAGTATTTACACGTCTCAGGAGAATTGGTTTCTAGGGATTTCTTGAACAAAAATTTTCTTGTGTCTATTTACTTTAAATTTGGCTTTGTATACAGAAAAAATACACAGAAGGAATCAAATAAACAGAAGTGATTACACATATGTAGACCTTTCTTAAATGGTAGGACGTGTCTATATGTAAAGGACATTTAGATGTGAGAATTAAGGAAAGAAAGTCATCATTTTCAGAATATCAGTGACTAAATTTAATAGAAGGGTGATTCTGGATCAAACTGAATGATTATGGGAGATGATAAATAATGAGAATTGTTTTTCTCACATGCGGTTCATAGAATTGGTCTCCAGCAGATTTTGGACAGTACAAGAGTTCACAGAGTACAAGGTATTGGAAATATACTCAGAGTTTTCTTTTAAAAAAATGTTGTGTCCGTCCCAAAACATTGCTTTATTTTGTTTGTTTTCTATTTTAACCAAGAGTTTTCTTTAAAGGATCAGGAATTTTAAATGTAATGTACAGGGTACATTTGATCATAGAACTTAGTTATGGAGACGTCCTGATCAATCTCTAAAAAAGTTTGTGATAAATAGGACTGTCGTTGGAATTGAAGAGAGGAAACTGGTGTAAGGCTTTTTGGTACAATACTCACTCACTAAACGTCCTGAGAGCCCTGAAGGGGAAAACTCCAGATTAGTCATTGTCAGCTGACTTGAATTTCTATCAAATGATGCAAAAAAATAAATGCATAAAAACTTTTTTGAGGGGCACCTGGGTGGATCAGCCGGTTGAGCATCCAACTTCAACTCAAGTCATGATCTCCGTTTATGAGTTCGAGCCCCACATAGGGTCACTGTTGTCAGGCTGCCAGGGAAGAGCCCACTTTGGATCCTCTGTCCCTCTCTCTCTGCCCCTCCCCCACTTGCACGCTCCCCAAAACAAATACATATTAATAAATTTTTTAAAACCTTTTTTTTTGAGTTAGAAACTGATATAGGTATAGAAATCCTATCTATCCCATTTATAAACTAATATATTTTTAAATCATGGAATGTTTGAAGCCATTAGACAAATGTAGGCAATAATATAAAGAACAAGGGCGTGCACACCAACCATCTTTTCAAAACAACCTCGTGCCAGAACTGCTTCCTGTCACACTCCTATCTTTTTCTCTCCAGAGGCAACCACCATCCTAAAGTTGGTATTTATCATCTTCAGGAATGTTTCTACACTTTCGTTGTATGCGTATATGCACCAACGAGAATTTTACAGTGTTGTTTTTCATGCTTTAAAACTTTATATCAGTAAAATTCACACTGTATACATCTCTTTGTAATAGCTAACTTTTTGTACATTCAACATTGTGTTGAAGTTTTGCTCCAAGGAGCTCTCCCACAGCTGTATGGTATTCTATTGTATATTCAATTTATTCATACACTCAATGGTTGAGAGACATTACTATGATTATTTTGAATATGATGATTATTATGATTAGCTTTTACCAACAACGTGGCAGTTTTTATACCTATTTCTTTGTGTATAAATGGGAGATCTTCGCTAGGGTACTGCTTCTGAGCTTAATGTGCTTAGAAATCACCCTAGTATCTTGTTAAACCATAGGTACTGATTCCTCAGGTTAAGGGTTTGGGCTTGAGAATCGGAATTTCTAACGAGCTCTCAGGTGATGCTGATGTCCCCTATACCCCATAATTAAGTGGCAAAGCAGTGGTTTTGTCCCTGGGAGTTAAGCTTTTAGATGTTTCAAAATTTCTTTGCAATGTGGTTGTATTAGTTTTCTATTGCTGTCATGAGAAATTGCCAAAAGCTTAGTGGGCCAAAACAACACAAATTTATTATTTTATATTTCTATAGTTCAAAAGTCTGACATGAGTCTCACTGGGCTAAAATCCAGGCATTGGAAGGGTCAGGTTCCTTCTTGGAGGTGGTAGAAGAGAATTTATTTCCTCGGCTTCTTTAGTTTCTGGAAACCGTCAGCATTCCTTAGAGTTCCCTTCCTCCATCTTCAAAATCAGCAACAGAACAAGTCCTCTGACTCTGCTGCTATCATCATCAATCTCTTTCTCTGATTCTCCTTTCTGCCTCTCTCTTCCACTTTTAAGAATGCTTATGATTACACTGGCCCATGTGTATAATCTAGGATTATCTCCCTATTTTATGTAGCAACCTTAGTTCCATTTTCAATGCAGTGAAACATAACCTGTCCACAGGCTGTGGGGATTAAGACATGAACACTTGGGGGGCACCATCCTGCCTACTATCATGACTATAACAATTCACACACCCACCAGCAGCATGAGTGTTTCTGTTGCTCCATATCTTTGCCAACATTTGGTCTTGACAGACATCGGTTTTTGCCAGTCTGATGGAGTGTGAGATGGTACCTCATTTTTTTGTGTGTGTGCTTGTTTTCATTTTCATTTTCTTAATTGCTTGTGTGACTAAGTACCCTTTTAATAGGCTCACAGGTCATCTCCCCTCTTGTGATTTGACCATTCATATCCTTTGCCTATTTTCACTTGGGATGTTTATATTTTCCTCTTGATTTGTAGAAGGCATTTATTTATTCTGTATACAAGTTTTTTGTTGATTGCTTTTAAAGTTACAATGCTAATGTAGTTGATTTTTAAAATTTCTTCATAGTTTGTATTTTTTTTTTTGTTATTGAGATATCTTTCTCTACCCTAGGTTCATAAAAATTTTCTCCTAAAAGCATTATGATTTTGTCTCTCATATTTGTCTTTAATCCAGCTGGGACTTACTTTTGTACATGAGGAAGAGATTTTTATGTGTATATAAACAATTGCCCTAGCTCCATTTATCAAGTTGTCAGTTGTTTCCCTTCTGATTTTTAATACCTTTTTCATGCAGAAGGTTTCTCATATATCTGGGTCTGTTTCTGGATATTTATCATAGCGTCACCAATTATACTTTTTCTTAATTACAAAATGTTTATAATAAATCATTATATCTCATAGGACAAATTTCTTCATCTTCTACTTCAAATTCCTCTTGGCTCCTTTATATAAATTTTACCAGTTTGTCAACTTCCTCAAAAAACTAGATTGGCATTTTTTTCCCCACACTGAATGTACAGACTAATTTGGGATAATTGACATCTTTGTGAAAGCAAGTCTTCCCATTCAAGAACATGGCCTTCCATCCACATAGGGTTTTAAAAAATGTCTTCAATGAAGTTTTGTGATATTAGTTGTGTTGTATGTATCTTTTATTAAATTGGTTCCCAGGTATCTCATTTTTGTTGTTGCTATTGTAAATAAATGGAAGCTTTAAAAAATGTTCTATCAATTGTCTGCTGGTATTAAGAAAACACTGATTTTTGTGTGTTCTTTCAGCCAGCAAAGCTTGCTCACTTCTCTTAATAATCTGTCTTCAGAGTCTCTTAGATTTGCTGTTTATAGGTAATCAACTCATAATAATTGATGACGGCTTTGTCTCTTTTCTCTGTTTTTATATCTTATGTTTCTTTTTTTGTCCTACTTTTACGGCTGAGACCTCTAATGCTCTATGAGTAGAACCAGTGTCTACGGATATCCTTTTGTTATTCCTGTTTTTAAAAATTATGTTTCTAAGGATTCATTATTATGTACGTATATGTTTCTATCGATTTTGGCATTTCTGTTTTATCGGTTTAAGTTTCTGTTTTCTAGTTTGTACATAAATAACTGTTGAATTTTATTAAACGTTTTTCTGCATCTATTGACACGATTACATGGTTTCTCATTTAAATTGTTAATGTAATAAATTAATAGATAATTCTAATATTTACATGAGTCTTGCAGTCTTGGAATAAACACAACTTGGTTATAATGTATTTTTATGCTTATATTGTTGAGTGTGTTTGGCTAATATTTTATTTAGAGCTTTTGCATTTATGTTCTTGAATGAGACTGGCCTTCCTTTCTTGTACTGTCCTTGTCTCTTTTTAGTATCCTAGTTACTAAACTTATAGAAAGTTATAGAAAGAATGTAGCGCATTCCCGCATACTCTATTCTCAGAAGCAGTTTGTGTAAGATGAGGATTATATGTCCCTTGAATGTTTGGTAGAACTTGCTTAGCAAACTTTCTGAGCAATGTTCTATATATTTCATTTTATATAGAACTTTTTATAGTTTAGGTTTCTTTATCCTTTAGCAGCGTTTTTGTAATTTGATCAGTTATCACAGAAGTGGACATAGTTATGAAAGACTTCTATTAAAATCTCTATAATTATAGATTTTTCAGTTTCTCATTATT